CAAATATTAAAAAAAACACTTTTTTACTGAGGTTTTGCTGACACCTGCAGTATAATTTCCATTACGCTCAAGCGTAACCAAACTTAATAATCATGATACACAGAGACTTTTATACGCTAGTACGGAATTTAGAAAATTCTGTTCCCTAATCACTTCTATTATGAGGTTCCAATTTCGCTCGACTAACTTCATGGCAGTTAGGGCACAACTACTATTACTGCATATTTTGCTTGATCATAATGGTTTCAGCCGAATGTCTGCCAGGTAGGAAGTGTTCGGAGTTACAGTGAAATAAAGATCCGGTTGAAAAGCACCGCAGCTTTAGAAACCTGCCTCTCAGTGCAGTAATACAAAACCCCAAGTGTACATGTAAAGCTCAGGTATGGAATACATTACTACAAAATTCCTGGTTCTAACACAACTAGTAACATTGCAACCGGAGGCGACAGGCACTATGATTTATTTATGAAAATATTGGATCTGTAGAGGACTAGTAATTATACAAGGAGCTTGTAGCTCTGAGTCCAACGGATCAATCATTTTACTTACAGCCTGTGACGAGCTCCCACTATTTGCATTGAACCTCGCGTATTCGCGTGATGCTTAACCTGCCGTGCAAACTACTGCAACCATTTCTGATCTCCTGTTAATCGACATCAATACCCCACTGACTGACGACAGTTCGTCTGGTACGAAAACCTACTTCCAGTAATTATTTTACACTAGACACTCTCACTGAAATTTTCACAATTAAACTCTATATTCCCCCTCCCCGACCTTCAGTCTCCACAAATCTGTAAACCCATATGTATGTAAGAGATATAGGAATAACAATCTCACAACACTTGACCATTTCTTGGAATTCAACCTACGAGCAGAACAATTTCCTCATATGAATCAATTATGTACTAACGTATTAGAGTTTATATTTAAAAATAAGTGGCTATTAACGGCTATTAGTACAAATTCTGTACTGTAAGGATAACTGAGTCAATATTGTTATAATATAGATATTTTGTTTCATACAACATATTACAGAAGAACAAGTACATTTGCTTCCATTTCATAATTAATTATAGTCATAAGAGCAGTAGATGTACATTTTTTAACGACAACTAAATCAGAACCAGCCAAAAATCGAATGTAGTGGATCACTTTGCAATTTAAAACAGTTTATATTCGGTAAAATCTTTTTACACTAAATTCAAATGTATTTTATGCGAGCCAACAGACCAGTAATGAGGTGTTTCATTAACTAGCATATCAATTTCATAATCATGACAGACTACACTGTCCAGGCACGAGAATTATTGGGGATTACCACAAAATCACGAGTCTTTCTAGTTGATCTCCATAAATATATCATCAATTATAACCACCAAAATTAACATTACTGGTAATACAGAAGCGGTTTGTTTGTTGTATCGTACATTAATTAACGGAAGTGCACGAACGATGAAGATTATTTAGCACCGATCCAAATGTGAAAACAGTTGTACACGATAAATTAGAAAGATTCGGAGAGAAAGAGACGGCTTATTTCGAAGAACAATCTCGGAATTATCCTTCATACCGAGGCCAGCTTTAAAATATTCAGCCAAGATAGTTGTTTTATGTCTCTGTTTGATGTCTCGACCGATGATTGAACCAAGCGCCTCACAAATAAAAAACAGAAGTATTAAGACTTAGGCTAGACTGTTCGTCTCTCGACAGTAAAGTTGTTTGCAATGATTACAAAGTAATTACGTGTATATTAAAATATTTGATGCAGTTGTGTCAGGTCAGTGACGTTAATGAGACTTTGGTGGTCTGTAAATGTAGATCTATGGCGTAGTCAAAAAGTAAGAGATAGTATTAGCTAACTTAAAAATTCAGTCAGAGTCAACTCACATCGCGTTCA